GCCGTTACACGTGTAGTTATCGTTTCTTTAATGTGGCTCATGCAGTGAACCAAAAAGAGACTACTGTTTGTATTTTCCGCCAACTCTTTGCAAAGTAATCTACGCTTTGGACTACCAAATTCCTCTCAATTCAGCTGTCAATTCCACAATCTAGGTTTTTGAATTCGGAATCCACGGTCTGAAATCCAGAAAGGATCAGAAACTAATGTCCTGACTTGATGGACTTCATGCACAATCCAAAACATGCGCAGCTGAATGCTAAATACACTCACTGGAGGGAGAGGTTGTGGATTGTGAAATTCAAAAACATTCATAAGGCTTTTGTCTCGGCCTGTGCTAACTGAGTGGCCTGCGTGGCAGGCTACTAACTGAGCTGGATCGGACCCCAAGACAATTCTTAAACTTAGATACATTTGGAACATAAAAACGTACAGCTTGCATCTTTATGATTCATTATTTGTAATTAAAACATTTTGGGCGATTTTGATTTCGGACAAAAGTAGTGTCGGGAGAAAACAGTCCGCAATTTAAAGTATTTCCATGGGCGACGCCATCATTTTTCCAAGGGCAATATAGACGAGAAGATAGGAATAGTGGAGGCTGTCACTTAGGAACTGGAACTAAAAGATTGTTTTGGAAGATTTTGTCTCTCGTTTGAGCTTGAAAACTCTTGGTATTCTTCATGGCCCTTGTCAGCTGGAACTGCTAGAGAAACAAGCTTGATTCAATTCGTTTTTTTTCTCCTCCTGTATCCGTTAAAAACCTAGAAAATAATACATGTAATAAAAAACAACAACAACATGATTTTCCCAGATCTTGCTCCAGGCTAATTCGTATTTTGTGTAGGCGTAAGTCTACCTTAAGTGTGTTCGAACTGAAAGTTAAACGTATCGTCCAGAATTTTTCTGCAAGTAATTTTGCCTGCACTGATTCTAAAACGCAACTTTTTATGATGAGGCCCAGGGGTGGATCCAGAAAATTCTGAGAGAGGTGGCCGGGACACTTGCCAGCTATATAAATTCTTTCTTTTTTTCTGAGAATTCTATAAGAATAATAAAAAAAGAAAAAGGGGTGGTCGCGGCCCCCTCGGCCCACACCTAAATCCGCCCTTGAGGCCTCAATTGATGAAACCGCACAAAGTCTTCAGCTTGAGACTATATCATTTACTTTGAAAAGTTAACTATAGTGCATTTGTTTTTAGTATTTGTCATGATCATTCTTTCTTTCAGAACAATGTAAATCCGATATGTATAACTATGTTTTTGTGTATCTGTTTTTCGTTGAAGGCTTATGAAAAAAACTATGTTTTTCTCTTTAATTTTTTAGTGTGCATTATTGAATACATAGGCTTTGAACTGTTTATCAGCGATGAAAGATTTTCTCTTCTTGAAGATTAAAAAATTACAAAAGGGTTGCATATAAGCTACTTAGAACCAACCTCAGTGTATGAGGTTCATATCTGTTTTAGCTAATTCCCATAAATGACTACAGTTTCAGTAGTTTTCAACAGAGGAATGCATTTATTGTCGTTGTGGTTCAATGTTACGTCAGTCTGGCTAACTTTTGTTCCCGTGAACAAATCCAAGTGCCACCTCTGTTGCATTTTGAGAGTGAAATGGATAGATAAAAGACCAAAAATCGACTAATTGTATTCGTACTCTATTCTTGTATTCTTGTATAGTTCTATCTCTATTCTTTCTGCCAGACCTCCCACTGAGAAATTTACTGCTGTTAAAAATCTTAACACTTGTTACATACCACTGGGACGCCAAACGAGCTAAAATGGCGGAGCTATTAATTTACCGACATAAAGAACACAAAGGCCTTATTATCAGTTTTATCATGGTATGAAAAGAAAACGAAATTATAACAATTACTAACCCTAAGCAACCAAGAATAACATCCAGGTTTACTAAAATCTAACGTACGGAAGGAAATGCCATTTCATGAAGTGTTACCGAAATTTTTCCTCCTTTGACTATACATACTCAGTAACCCGATGAAAATGAGTTTCGCGACGATGTTGTGGAACTGGAACATTTCAGAGAGAGGAACTGACGTTTTTGGGCATTTGGTCAAACGTGGCTCAGTAAATGCAATAAATCTTTATCAGACAATTTTGATGAAAGTCTCCTGATCCTTTTATCGCTGTGCCATTAAAGTTTATTAAGGAGAGACGAAAAACAAAACTTCACTTAAAGGATTCTCTGTGACTTGGCTTTCAATATATTATGCTTTAAAATGACAGCGACAATACTTTAAAAATTAATGACGACTTTTGAATGTTCCAAATAGCAATGATGTCTATGACGGCTGTGTGCATTGACAATTATCACCATGATTGGTCAGAAAAGTTTATGAGATTGTTGAGTCCAAAAGGTAATAATGTCTATCGCAGTAGGTTGTCATGAAGCTTGCTTTTTGTCTAAATTAAAGCGAAAACCAATACTGTGGCGGTCTTTCCTTTTTATTCTGAAGTTGGAAAAAGTTATTTATACCAGTATTATTATCGGCTAAATTTTGAACGGCTCTGTTTACACAATTTCTCCTTGAGGCGAAGTTACAGTCTTATTTTTATCGCCAGGACAACTGGCTTGTTTTTTTCTCACTAGTACCCTTTTTAAAGAATTAAAAGACCTCCTGTGGGAAAAATAAGCAGTTTGATTGAAAGACCACACATGCAGAGCTTGCATGCAGCTTACAGATGTCTTTTATAACAACTTTATGTACTTGAATTTAAAATATATGTGCGTTTTCCACTGCGGTTTTTTTAGTAGATATACGTCTTAAAAACACGAAATCATAATAAAACTTTTATCTCTATTTGTGCTCAAAACTATTCCTAGTACTGATTAATTTATTTGGTGTTAATAAAACACCATTTTGTTTTATTAGGTCTTTACCAGATCTCTTTATAATGCAAATATATCACGGAGTTCGGACTGAAACAATAGGCATGCGTAAGTCCGATTTTGTTCATTGTTCAATCAAAACTTACACATACTTTAAAGTTTATAACGCCATTTCGGGTGCGTTAGTCATCCTTCGAGGTCCCTTCGTAACCTCCATGACTCCATATTGGACGCAGATATCAAAAAGGAAGAACTCATTTTTAGGTATGCAATAGGTGTTTTTTTGTCGTTCAACGTAGATTTTGGTTGGCACAAATTAGTGTTGCATGTATTTGCACCATACAAGCCATTGTACAGTTTAATTTGGTAAAATTGCTGGCCAAATATTCGACACTTTTCTCAATAGTGATTGTGAAAATTTGACGTAAAATGTACCTTATTTTAAGCAACTAGTTGAATTTCGTACTTTTTATGCTGGCAAAGTTAAACCGACACCGAGGTTTTGTTATGAGTGTACATGTCTCACTTACACATGTTCATGAATATTTTATTTGTCATGTACCGCATCGCCATCCGAAATTTGCGTCCATGCAGTGGCTATACTCCGGCTAGACATCCCAAACGACCCATTTTGTAAGGTACTGCGGTGAGCTATTCTAGTAGAAGAAAAACGCTTCATCTTGATTCATGGGGTGAAAACACAAAACACAAAAATAAGCCAGGTTCTAAGGAAACTGCAATAAATAGCTTATTACGGTTAGGAACGATTTAGACTGTACAAAATTGTCGCACCAAGCGTGCTGACTACGCGAATTGTGCTTGGTCGAAAACGTCTGACAATCGGACGAGTTAAAAATAACAGCTAGGAGTTTTAAGTTCCCTTTACACAGTATTATGCGTATTGTGGTTTACAAAAATTGAATGGGACGAAATTGTACTGTCTAGACTCTTTTTTGGCGGGGGGAAGTGGTTTATAGTAATATCGTTTACAAAAGAGTTGGCTTCTCGGGTAGCTAATGTTTGCTGACACGCTTTCAACGAAGTTACATCAGTGTACTCGAAACACTTTTTCCGCTTCTACGTTTTAGTTCGTCAAAACAATATTTCAAAAGAAAAGTTTTACCGCAGAGGTACAGTCTGTCAGGTGATTATTGTCAATTAAACTCACTAGATATGATAATCAGTTATTGACTCGGATTTTCCCAAAAAAGGGACCTCTGACAAACGTGCGATATCTATAATATTGCTATATTCAACAGTGAACCACTGGCGAGTTGACGTCAGCAGCAATCCATTATCTTGATCCTCGGTAAACGTTCATGACTACATTTGTAGAAAAGGTCGAAACTGACCTGTTTTCTATCTTCGAATTGATTTGAATCAGATATTGTAAGTGTTACCAGCCTTAAATCTTTGTTTGTTTGTTATTCGCGTGGGAGATCATACAACCGACATTTCTCACCAAAAAGTATGAAAGATACAGACAGCACACAATAGGAAAAAAAAATAAACTAGAAAAAAAAATAGAAGACAAAATCGTGGCCAGAGGCCTAAAAGAAACTAGAAATGCCGTAAGCTCATTAGAGATAAGGCCTCCTCGAACACTCGAACTGTGGACCATAAGGTGATTGAACATCAAGTGAGCCAGAAAGGGTGGAAAGACCTGAAATCATTATCCAGAACTTTGCCTTTATGAAGTGTAATCTTTACATCTATAATATAGGAACTTATCGAGAAATTAAACCTCTTTATAACATAGACAACTCTCTAAGAGATCTTCCATTTACTAATACAGTCTCAATATCATGAGAGGCGGCTGATATTTTAGACCAAACCTGCATCCGGCCATTTGGCTCTGTTGTAACAGGTATATTACAGATATGTGTATGTATAAATAGCATAAATATCTCTTTAATAATCAACGGACCTTAATCAGCGTACACACCCTACCTCCCCGATACGTTAACCTGCGATCAGGTGGTCCTTCTCCCCTTTCTTTTTCTCCGCGAAAGAAAATACGCCTGATCGTAGGTTGATAATACGCCTACCGCCATAATACAATCACTTGTGCTCGCATGCGCAACTTTAGTTCCGTGTTAATTCAAGAAGGTCATTGAATTGTGTCGTAAATATTTTTATCCTGTGCAGTTCCTTCATGTTGTTCTTGATTGAGGGATTCATGGAGGAGCCATGCGTAGCTCTATCACCGCTCTCCTCATATTGGGGTCATTAATAGAAGTCATGTCCTGGCACGTCCATCAGAAAGTACCAATTAAGTGGTCAAGTCTCGCAAATCTCCGAGGGCTCTCCATTCTGATGAAACCGGGAAGAATTCACAACGTGGATGCGAAGTGAGTTTGAATTACTGAATAGTGTACATACAGTAAGGTCAAAAGAAATCATCCGCAAAAGTTTGAACGTTTCTGGCCAACGACTCAATCGTCTGAACTGGTCAGTGCAAGGTGCTCCTATTTGGCTTGAAGCCCGGTAACGTTAATGCACCTGCATTCATTGTACCCAGCAGATTCTCTTTCTGATGAGTAACTTTGTCGTACAGTGTACTTACAATGAAAAGATGAAGTTTGATACTTAAAGTTGCCACTTATTTATTTTTTTTAGATGGCCTTTTCCTCTCATTTCCTTGGGCCTTTTTTCCTTCTAAGCTCGCCCTGAGCTTTTATTTGAAGTAATTTCTTTAAAAAGACCTATAATTAAAAAAAACAACAACACAAAAAAGCCATCCTGTGGAGCTGAGTCAGTCGAGAGTCAGGCCCTCTGACTGCCTCTACGGTTTGCAGACATGGTGCTGACGTCATTATTTTTATTTTTTTAAAACTATACATTTGTATGACGTAACTGTGACCTTTTTGTGGTGAAAACTTATTACCGTCACGTGAAATGTTTTTCTAAACAACCACAAGAAAAACAAAAACACGAGATTTTAGAGCGCTTCAATCAAGGAAAAGTTCTAGTGTGCCCACTGAAAGTCCGAGATAAGGAGTGGCAACAGTCGGTGAGGTTTGTGTTTTAATTTGTAATGTAAGCGACTTAGATTTGTCATTGATAGCTTTGCTAGCGTAGACAGAATCACTTGTGTCTTCAATTTTCTTTCTAAACTTTGAACTGAAGCATTCTTCAACTTACTTTTTTCAAGAGGAGGTTTTATTGAAAGTCCCGAATGATTTTTGAACATCAAAGTGAAAAGAGCGCGTTACTTGCGGAAAAAAAGGTGGGATAAAATGAATATTGTAGACTTTTTTAAAAATGTTTTTAAACATTTTACTTTGCCGTTTATTTGCAGTTGTATTGTGAATGATTTCATATCCAATACCGGAAGTAGAGGTCACAGCCAGTATCACGAGACATTCCACAGGTTACGTACTCTTGAAATTCACGCTCGAGGAGGTAAGTAACAACCCAGGTATAACCTTCAGTTAATCAATATAAAATGTGTTGGATTTGAAGATAAACATTGTTCATTATCTGAAAAACTGCCCTGCCAAAACCAAACTAGGGAGACAACTGATTAGTCATTACGTCAAATGGTTTCAGTATACTCTAAGGTCGCACTCAGTCGACCGGTTCTTTAGTTAGAAAGCAGTACTTTATATTGCGGTTTAAAATGGACTCCGCCGGCATATTTTCTGTCGACTCATTTTCGGGATCAAACAGGAATTTCCCAAATCGGTGTCCGTTCGATCGAAAAGTTCTGTCGCAAACTGTAGCAGAGTTTTGTTGTAGCGATACTAGAGGCAATTTACCCTTGTTACAAATTCGAAGAATTCACTAGCTTGCTGGTATGGCTAAGAATGAACGTACCGGACGTGCTGCTCACAATCTGCAATCTCTAAGAGGAAAGGAAATGGCCTGCTCTTTTAATGACGTCACAAAATGATCATCAGCATACACTCAAGTTTGTACTCGTTTTTGTTAAACGGACTGACGAAGAGAACCCAACCACATCTCAGTTGCGTGTTGTTCAGTGACCAAGACAGTCAGTGAGGTGCTTTGAATGTTCCTCTAAATGAAAGGCGGAAAGTTTGTAGGTAATCATCCGAGGTACGATGATAGTAAGTCTCAGAAACTTTCAGCTTATTAGGTAGGACGAAAGACTATCCAGCGGGCTTTCGAGTCGGCTTCCTTCACGACGATAGCGTTCTGCTCTCATAATATACTCATTTTTCTATTTCGTTGCTGGGTGTGAAATTCTCCTCCGATTCATTAATCAAGTCACTCAACGAGGTCGATCTTTCATGCCCTTTTCAAACAATGGTAACTTTTTCACTGTCCAACTATTTGGGCGCTGCGAATGAAGAAAACTATCAAATTAATTTGGACTTGATTCAGATTACCGACTCAATCGAATTCTGAGCGGTACCTTGAAGGCATCCGCTTCGCAAGTGTTCAAAGTTGGAGCTTGGGACGAGTAGGCTCGCGATGAGTAATTTATACAGCGTGTTAGGGACGTCACAGTGGTTTTCAAATGTTAATCGACTGATGTTTGAAGATATTTAGAGCTAACTGGGATCTGTAATAACATTGACTTAGCCTTCGTCTCTGCCAAACCTCTACCGCTCAGCGATATTTCATCATTATGCCCGATTTTACGGTGGATAAAAAGCAATTTCTTTGAAAATTTGGATATTAAATACTGCGTTAAATTAAAATTAAAAAAAAAATCGTTTCAAGAAAGTTAAAATGATTGCATAATGATTTGATCATTACGCAAGCGAGCAAACAGCTAAAAAGCCCTTATAAATATTGACTTTTAAAGAAAAGTTGAAAGATAAATATTAGCAGAGCTGGCTTTTGCAAATATCTTTTAACCGAAAAACAATAATTGAAAGTTAATTAACATTCTTTTTTGCTTTTCTCCCTGAGTTCTATTGTGTTGCATCGTCTCCAGGATTTCTGGTGTTTTTTTATTACAATTAGTATACAAAAACAACGTATCTCTTTTGCAGACATAGATAACGGAGCACAAACACTTTTTACCTATTTTTCATACCATCCTTTCATTCTGCACTTTTTCTAGTGCCTAAGGGTAAGTGAAGAAAACCATTACAGCGATCTTATCTTCCGGTTTTAATGCAATTTAATATATCTACGATGATTGCTTGTGAACCATAGTAGGAAGTACGTCATTGTTTGGAAAATAAGGTTGTATATGTACCTTTCATGAACAAAATAAATGGCGATTTGCATCTTCCATCACGATCACTATATCATATAGCTACCTTCGTAAAGGATGTGATTTATAAGGTTCGTTTAACGTAGAGTTTTTGCGGTTAAGTGCTAATTTTGTTTTTCTGTCAGGTCTCAAGAGAAAAGAGCTGGTCCAGGGATTCCAATCGATTTTTCAGCGAGCCATGGAAGGAACAAAATTACTTTGGAACGGATCAAGACTAGTTTCGCGGCTGCACTTGGAAAACATGATCCTAAAAATATTGCTCATATTCTTAATCCACTCCCTCATAAAGAGGAACTATTCATTGGAGCTGCAATTATTAGCAACAGTTATTTTGTACTTGAAGACGTCATGTGCAACGCCTTCTCCGTCATCAGTGTACTCGAGAGTTTCCAGTACACAGTACACGAGTACTCCGTCGCTTTTAAGCTTTCAATCAACAATCACAAGCGATCACGGTAACTACCTCGCACAAACGCTTAACGCAACCTCATCACAAGGGAGTAATTTTTCCTCGCATATTCATATAGACATGTCTGTCAAAACTGAGACAACGTTGACGCACTTGCAAGGTAATCGTAGCGTTATTTTTTATTGTAATTTAGCAGCGTTTCTGACGGAAAACTCCGACTACTTCGGCCTATAGACGTGCTACTTCAGACTGTTTAAACTTATTTTATTTTATTCATCTTGCATCTCATCTATAAAAATGGAGCAAGGGTGGATTTCTACTGTCGCGTAAGTCTTACGTGCGTAAATAAAAGAAATACGTTGTATGAAAGGCCGCGCGAAAACGTAAAAGTCGAGCGAGTTTTTTTTTACTTTTACGAGCGACGTTTAGATACATTGCCCCTAATCTATTTACGCACGTACACACAACGCCACAGTGAAAATCCACCTTATAAGACGGGAGGTTAGTCTTCCTTTCGGCCTTTCCTAAAATGCGTAAGGACTCTTGGATGTGCAAGTAAAAGAATGGCTAGCTTGACTTTAGCTAGCCTGCGTGCAGACGATAACTAAACTCTGATTAGTACCGTCTGCGAAGCAGCGCAGAGATCCTTGTTCTGGACCCCCAACGGACTCAACGAATTACCAGAAGTGCGTTTCGAATTCCCCTTCAACCTGATTGGCGATCACGACAAACAAAACAAAGGCCTTTTTTAACTGGCCAATCGTGGCGCGTACTCAAATCTGGGTACACAGCTGGAAGTCCAGAACAAGGATTTCGGCGCTGTTTCGCAGACGGAGTTAACCAGAGTTTAATTTCGTCTGCGCGCAGGCTAGACTTTAGCACGAATGAACTGGGACTTTCACAGACACGTCGAATCCGATTCGGTTTGACAGCAAACAATTGACCAGCGGTTGGAAGAATAAATCCAAAATGGTTCTCCATGTACTTGGAATGTCAAAGGAAGGTAGCGTGTACCACAAAATAGCTTGCCGCATTGCACAGCATTGGCATGTTCTTGCTTTTAAACCTCGTGTTAAACTCGAATTTAACGTGGTCTTTTTAATTTAGTATTGTTATAGCACGATATTTCAAACACGTCTTAGAAAGACAGACTGGAAAGACTGTAGCTGAATATATCAATAACAGAGTTTTCTTTTCTGCTTCCAAGAAAGTGAAGAGATTGTATAACTAGACAAAATAATGCATGTCGTGACAGTACACGTAAAGAACGCTAAGAGCACCGCCATTTCATTTCACACCAGTAGAAAATGTAGCTATTAAGGAATAAGTTATTTATGTGTGAACAAAATTTTATTCATCAGCTGACTGAAATATATAACTCCAGGCTATAAAGTCAAACTTGTCTGCGTTTAAAAATAATGCTAATTCGGAGACAAATTCGAGTAGACGAGGCATTATTTGTTCTGAGTTAATTCACAGGATCATTTATCTATAACGACCATCCTTGGAGACCAGTAGACTTGCTACGAGTCGACCTTTTGGCAAGCGGTGCGTGCCTTGTTTCGCCGCGAGGCGGCCGACCGCGAGCGACGAAGTCATATGAAATCCGACGAAGGACTTTTTTGAAAGTCTAGGAGACCAGCAGCCAATTACAAATCCGAACTGTTCTAAAAACATTTGAATACCCCGCTTGTTATTGGCTATATTTCTGGGGAAGCGGGGAATTCAAATGTTTGTGGAACAAGTTCGGATCTTTCTTCCTTCTTGTAAACTTATAATGGACTGGAACAATTTCGTTCGTGAATCTTTCGTCTTGATTAGCTGCGCCCAAATGCTAGTCTCCGAGGATGCATAATGAGTGGGTAGACGCTTCAAACAAGGTTACATTAGCAGTAATGGGGCAACTCACACCGCAGTGGAAATATAGAAGCCTTATTTATCTGTTGCCTAGTCCCTGTATGGCGTTTCGCAGGCCTTCACGTTCATGCATTTCTTTGACGTTTCCGAGGGTCTCCGAGACCCGGAAACGAGTAAGTCGCGCGGAATAATGAATGCCTGGGGTCTATCTTAAGTTATTGACTGGATCTATCTTAAGTTATTGGCACTTAAGTTGTACGTGCAATTACCTCTTTTTTAATAGATTGATTTTCGGAAAATGGCATTTGTGTCTAGATAATGTGTTCCCTGTTAGCAGAGGCCTTCCGCAGAAAAAAAAAAAAACTCTGAATACCAGGGAAAAGAGGCCTCTGCTGGCAGGAAAGATGGGAATTTTCTTTAACGAATATGATCTCATTTACTTCATTTTTTCGTAGGAATCTGTGATCCAGACTGGATTCATCATGGTGATCTTTGCTACAAAGTTGTAAAAGAAACTAAAGTGTTTAATCACGCCGAGAGATTTTGCGTTATCCATTCAGCTCATCTGATATCGATTCAAAGTAAAGAAGAAAATGATATAATTTTTAGTTTAATTCAGACTTCTATCGGCCAACCTGGCAAAATTAGGATTTGGCTTGGGATGGAAAGACTGTCGTCGGATTCCAGTCTCCATTGGGTTGATAAAAAACCATTTACGTACGAGAACTGGGCCCCAGGTGAACCAGACCAGTCAGGCGCATGCGTACAAATGATTCACAAGGGATGGTGGGAAGACGCGTCATGTACGCAGAAACTGCCTTACATATGCAAGAAAGGTAACTAATGGAAAATTTTTATAAAATCTGTCTATGGCTTTCAATAAGTTAAGGACATCTTTGATCTCACGAAAAGTTTGATAATTGTTTGTAAACGGAAGAAAGATGACAAAAATGCAAGTTTGAGAAAACAGTGGTGATGTAGATAGGTTCAAAAAAAGGCTGAAGCACTTTCTTTGATCAAGTTATCGCCGTGAATCGGCCTTTGTACAGTTTTCAGTGACACGCCTCAGCGCCTGGGTGCACAAAGCTACTTGGGATTTACTGCGCATTTTCTGTAACCATTCTCTTTGCTCCGGAACGCTTTTTTGCATAGTATCACAGATTACTACTCGGCCGATGAATAAATGAATATAGAAAACGCAAAGAGAGACCCTCGGAAAGCAGGAAATATTTGCAACAAATTCCAAATTAATCTCAACTTACCTTTTTTAACCGGGCCCAGGGGAGGTGTGGAGTATTTTTGGCTCGCGCCACGGACCTTTAAATGTTACGAGAGTTGGTTACTTGGGTGGTTTATGAGGGTCAATACATCAAATTCACAAGAAAGACGCCTAGGCACCGAATTCATTGTCCTCAGGGGAGACTTGTAACTGTTCTTTGGTAACGATGGCTAGCGCGGAAACAATTCAGTTCCACATTATGTGGAGATGGATTGAAAAACCCTGAACTAAAACTGAACTAATCTATCTTGATTTGCTGTCGTACCAAAATCACCCCTGTTCCCCTTTATAGCGTCTTCCGAGGGCTTGTTCGATAGTTTAGCAACTTATTCCGCTAGATCGCCATTACCTACCTCGTTAAGCTGCTCCCGCGTTTACACTATTCTGCAAATCTTGAAAAGTGTCGATTGACCAACTGTCTACCATTTTTGTGTTCGAACATGGCTGGGTTTTGTAAAAACCTTGTTTCTGTATTAATTTGTACAGGTAGCAAAGACAGCTTACCTTACTCCCGAGCTACAGAGCTAGGGGTCCTAATTGGTATACCCATGGCCTGCTCTGCAATCATGCTGACCGTAGTTGCTGTTTTATTCGTTAAGAGTGTCAATGATTCGCATGGAACTTATTACGGATACGGAAAAAATCGCAACAAGGACAAAATCCACTCTTGCTTGATTAGTATGAGCACAGGCATCGCACAGGTTGGAGCCGTAGGATATGTCAACGAAGCTCGCCGTTTTAGTAGATCAAGCACAAGGTCGACTCCGTCAGTGCACTCCTCAGTGCCTAGTATCCATTCTCTCGAGGGTTCGCAGGTCGCTTCGCCTGTGACAACCCCGGAGATCACCATCACACCCGGAACACCAGAATCAGAGCGAAGAATAGACATCACAAGTGTTCCGGCTACTTCCGCCACAAGTATTGAACAAGACAGGTTTCAGTCTGTGACGAGTCTAGAAAATCTGCTATCTAGAAAGTACATTAAGCCGAAAACTCGTCGCCTGCGTTCGTTGAAGAAAGCGGATGCTGTGGTGTCACCTGCAGGGGCCGCTGGGAAATACAGACGTAAAGATGAGGAATTCGAATTTTATGAAATCTGATTTTTGTTTATCATGTTTATAATAAAAAAAAAGACCAGAACGTTGCTTGTTTAACAATTATTATATTTAAAACACTTTCCTTTGGAAATTTACGGAGGTCTCCTTTAGAGGAGGAATCGAGTTGTTTATTTATTGTTTTTTAGTCATTGATTGTACAATGTAGATTTTACCAAAGACGCATTTACGTACCCATTTCTTCCCTTGTTTCGTCATAGTTGTAGTCATCATCATTGTTCAAATTATTATCATCGATATCACATTTTTAAGTTAAGCTTGTACTGTTTTAATAGTTTAATAGTTAGAAATGATTTGACATATACGGTATATTAAAGTAGAAATTGTCAACTGGATATGCGCGCTCTCAGTTGAAGACAGTACAGTAAAAACCCGCCAGTAAAAACCCGCATTTTCCCAAGTTAGTATTTATGTAAAAATTACTATAAGAAGAATTGAAGCACTAACTTGTCCTGCTTCAGAACATAACATACATGTATTGTAATGCCTTATCTTAATTGCCCAAGATCGAGGTGTGTAGGCTGTTCCAGGCGTTCAGATAGTGGGGAGTGGTGCGACGTAAAAAGGGGCGCGAGAAAATAAAAACGAGGGAGGGGCACACTACTCCCCCCAGTTTCCCCTCTACTTTTCATCTCTTTTTTCACTTCGCACCACTCCCTACTATCAGAACGCCTGGAACAGGCTACGAGATTTGAGAAAATAAAAACCTGGTTCAAATTTTAAAGCCAGGTTCTTACTCGCGGGTTTTTATTGTATTTGGCTAAACTCCAACTTTAATTTTGAATCTCGCGAGACACAAGATTATCAATAAGTATATTAATCTCTGCTCGCTGGTGCAGAAAAATGGTGTTTCGACGAAACATCCTTGGTTTGAACTCATGTTCGTAAAACTACGAAGTATTTATATTTTTTGCTAAGTAGAAATTTTAAAATAAATTTGTAAATTATTCGAAAACCCATTGAAAATAAAGAATAATAGCATTTTATTACGAAGCAAGGCTTAAAATCTCTACGTTTCCAGCTATTAAAGCTATGTGCAAACGGACGCAACAACTCCCAACATTTTTGGGAGTTGTTGCGTCCGTTTGCGCGTAGCTAAAAGTTTGACTGGTTTCGAACTTTGCACAATAACTCCCAACAACACTGACAACATGCAACAGGGTGTGTTGAAACGGACGCAACATGTAACATCCAACAATGTTGCGTCCGTTTGCACTTCACAGCAAGGAGCCCAAAAGTGTGACCTCATTTAATTAATTCAAATTCTTTTCATGCAGACATTAACCAATCAGATGTCGAGGAAAGTTTCTAGCTGGCTTCTGATTGGATTAAATCTGCACGAAAGAATGTGAATAAGTCAAAAGCGGTCACACTTTTGGGCTCCTTGCTGTAATAACTATGTTAAAAGGAAATACGACTCTCCTAAAAACGCGTGCGTGGTAAGCTACGGTTGAATACACTTCGAACATTATAACGTTGTTCTTTCTTGGAACAATACGACCCTGTTGAGAGTTTTTTTTCTCTGCTATAACTATAACCGGAATCATACCGTCTTAAACGAAGAAGGTTTCAATAACACGAGTAAAGCATACTGATAATGAGGGCGTGACCCCATAAAGTTGAGAAACGAAAATCGAGAGTCATGTAAACAAAAAAAGGTGAGATTCAGCAACCAGAAATAAAATAACCAAATAATGTCTTTATTTAACTTTTAAGTCAAATAATAATAAAAAATACAATATACCATTTCGTTCTTCGCATCTTTTTACATATTTACACATTTTTCACTAAAACCTTTTATTTTCTAATTCCGCAGCTCTCCAACGAGGAATGTTCATAAAGAGCGTTAATATCTAAGTTACGTGTTTCATCTCTGTAAGTTGTAGTTTTCCGAATTTTGGCAATGAAATAAGGATGTAACCGCTTAGAAGTAGAGAAACTTCTAGTACCAAAGAAAAGTCTTTTTAGGATGTTACACTTAGATATCCCTAAATGAGAAGCAACGTACTCAATCTAAAGTAGGTTTTACAGTGTCTTGGTCGGTTATTAGGCGAGCTGAACCAAGGCCTTTTGATCCTTGGCTCTTTTCTCAGTCAAGCCATCAAACTTTACTACCCTTTTTTCCGCGTGTACCGATGAACTGTTGAAGTTGGACTGGACCCTTGGACCCTTGAAACTCAGATCTTGCCGAGCGCTCAAAGCTCTTTGTACTGTTTTGGTGGCCTACAATAGAACAACAAGTGTAATTAAAACAATTTTCTTGAAGCGATAACGCCACTTGATATTTACAACGTGGCTATACTTTGAAGATAACTTCTTTAAAAGAACTAGCAACATCAAGAAGCCTTCTTGTTTAACGAGAAAGTTTCGAGCGCTGGCCCTTCGTCAAACGTCAGCTTCTTGTTTAACGTTTTGATTTGTAGTAAGAAATTTAACTGTCTACTAGTAATAACCAAAGGTTACGGAGTGCGCGACAACGAGCGAAGGTCAAAATGTCAGCTGAAACGCTTTTGCTCCAACGCTGTGCTTTGCGCAAGTTTCACGTGAAAGATGGTCAAAACGCGCGTGATCAGAAGAAACACGAGTGATAGAGGGTCCAAACGCGCTTGATCAAAGTGCATTCTGTGCATTCCACACATCCTTCGTGGAAGTCCAAACGAATGCTGGCTACGCTGGCTACATACATAAGACGCATGCGTAATAACAAACTGGAGATTAGGATTGCGGGCTTCTCTTTTCGCCCGCAACAAGTCAAAAAAAATCTAGCATTAACAGCTCCCAAATTTCAAATCAGAAAATTACAACATGTAAGAACCAAAGACTCAAAAGATTAGAGCAAAAAAGGCTGACAAGGCACAGTGAAGGTTTCAGGGTAGAATAAGCACAATAACTTTATTACGTAAAATTGACAGGCTATTTCATCCTAGGCTCGATTATTAGCCGCTGTTCGCGAAATGAGCACCAGTTCCTCCGAGCATCATTTCATCCGTCATACTACTACATGAGAAATTTCTGCAATTTGATTGGCTTAGAGCAGTGGTATTTCAGCTTAATTTGAAATAACTACATGTGAAAATTACAAACCTCTTGCGGGTAGTAGTATAAACAAATAATAACATGATTTGTACGTGATATTTGGCATAAATAACACTCGTGATATTTGAAAATTGTCTCAAATTACGTATAACAATTTTGAAATATCACTCGTGGTATTTATGCCAAATATCACCACTAATCATGCTATTACCTATACTAATTGTGCAATAACAAAATGCTCGAATCTGATTGGTTCTTAACAGCCATATTTCGTGCTTAACATCGAAACTGTCCGATTTGACCGATACGACAACCAGGAGCTTGTAATCGAACAGGTCAAATGGGGCAGTTAAACAGCCAATGAAAATCAAGATGCAAATGATACTAGCCAATGAAATCTTATTACATAACCCGTAATGACCAATCAAAATCAGTCGGACCTCCATGTTCCGATCTCGCCGAAAGATGTAAGAAATATTATTGCTTTGGAAACTGTAAGATAATGTAATAACAACTTTGTACATTTACGTTGATAAATATTCCAATAATGAAATTCTCTCATTTTGTTATAGACACAATTTATTCGTGGAAATAGGACTTCGTGTCGTGTAATTCAGGGTAATCGGGCGAGTAATTTCAAGTGGGCCTCGCGCGCCCGAGTACTCTCTGAATTGTTCTCCACACAGTCTTATTGGTGCTTGCCGTTACTTGTGTCAATATGAAAATAAAATCAAATCAAATCAAACTTCATCATAGCTAACGTATGGCAAAATATGTCTCAATACAGCTAACCTTTTTCTTTCCTTTGATGATGCTAATGTGAAAATCTTGTTCCTCCATGCATGCGCGCACTTCAGGAAACACGGAACCTCTAATCGGTGGAAGAACTGATTTACCACTAAACTTGGCTGCTGCTTCAGAATTCTTCGCACCTAAACAAAGCCACGAAATAACAACTTAACTTGCCTTCTACTGACTGGGAGTTCCAAAGATTTTGCAACGTTTTACTTTTTTCTAACTTTCGTTTACTTCTATGTGCTCGCTCTAAAGTACGATTCAAAGAGGTTTTTTGTCAGTTCACAATCACCTTGCTACTTTGCCACAGTCTGTGCAAGGAGAAACAATTTCACACTGTTTTTATCAGTTAAAACAAAGCCAATACAACTGGCAGTAGCCTCCCACGCAGGCGATTTTAGGGGAGCTTGTATTTCGTCGCTCCCTACAACGAAATATGAGCTCCCCTAAAAACGCCTGCGTGGGAGGCTAGACTGGTAGCGTAAAAGGGGGAAATCACGCGTATATACGATCTTTCTCTTCTTGAACGCCGTTTTAGCAAGCCGTGCACCCTCCATGCTTATTGCTCTTCGCGAAATTTTCGGACTTCTTTGAGTCTTATAAGGGTTTCTTTTATCGTTTGTCTCACGCCGGGTTGTCACATAGATATCAATCACGACGTTTTGACCGCGTACTGCAGGTCTTCATCAGGCGATAGTATCGATTTACTGAGTAGAACCAATGGCTCTTGTTATTGGCTCTTGTGGTTGTTAGTGATTGGTGTATTACGAACTTCGCTCATGGTTGGTGGGTTTCGATCCAAGACACTGTTGGCAATATTAGAGGAGGAAACTGTTCTCTAATATTGCCAACAATGCCTTGGATCGGAACCCACCAACCATGAGCGAGGTCCGTAATACACCAATCACTAACAACTACGGCGGTATAAATAGTTCGACTCAGTGAATCGACTCTATCGCCTAATGAAGACCTGCAGTACGCGGCCGACACGTCGCGATCAATATCTATGTGACAATCGTAAGACAAACGATAAACGAAACCCTTTATACACTTTATTCACAATACACAATATCTTTCTTTACATTCTTTTAGTCTTGGTCATAAAAATTGCCTTGAGAGGTGATGGAGAAAAGAAGACCCTTGTTTTCCAAATTTTATCAAAACAGAATACTTAATGACAGTACCTGAGGCATGCTGGAAAAGTTGCTGATAACTACTTGTTTCTCGAATGGAAGCCTCGGCCTGACGTGCAGCCGCCATTCCCATGTGACTCTTCATGACGTCAGTAATGGCTCGGCCCGGAAACAGCCTCGAAAAAATGGACACGACTTCCTTGTTCTCGGGGTCTAAATACAACGACACGAGAACGTCGTGCCGAGCACCGTCCATGTCCTGAAGGAGAAAAAAGTTGATAAATACTCTGGTTTAAATTCGCTGTAAAAGGCGGCCCTCTTTTTAAAACAGTACCTTATGTCTGACTGGCAAATTAATAGTTCCCCATTTCTTAACCCACAGTGGTAGTATATAGTACAAATCTTCAGACCGACACTGCTAAAAATTTAACTTCTGATAGAATAATAACGATTTGGCTTCCATACGGGGGTAGTAGACTCCATCAAGACGAGTCCCCACCCACCTACCCTTAGCAAAGTTCTTGGTGTAGAAGCCAATTTGTAACCGACAAATTTGTCTACAAGTTTTTATAATAAGAGAGGCTTGCAGTGTGAACAGTTTACATATGCTTAGAAGAGCTTCGGAAGGATTGAAATGCCGTTCGTGTTTCTCACTGTAGTCTTTACACTCTAGAGCAGGTCTGGCAGTAGGAGACGTTTTAGACAGAATTTCGGGAAAAAAATACCGTTTTAAGGATACGACTCAATAGTCAAAATACTGATGTAACTGAAAACGTTTCGAAGAAGGCGGAAAACCGACGTTTTTGGTTAGATTGCTACGATACATCAATAAATGGGACCGAAGAATTCACTCTTTGGTAGCGCTTCACTCCTTGCGGTTAGTCAGGCCTCCTCATCCCCTCATGTGGCGAATAAAGGTCTCAGAAATAAAACGAAAAATGTGTTCAATCAAAAATCCTTCATTATCGTTACCTCTATCATGTATCTGGCCCTGGCACGTGACAAGTAATAGGCACCTATCCGTGGATTATACTGGATGGATGTTGTAAGGTGATCTATAGCTTCAAGGTAGTGCCTATCATAATACTCCAGTATTCCAAACTCGTTATGCACAATGGAAAGTCGGCACCTGACAGACCAATCACTGCTGTCCATCTCTAATGCCTGTTGATAGTCTGACAGGGAGAAGTGAAGCTCGTTCAGGCGAAAGAAGCAGTCTGCAAAATCAAAAGTGATTATGATAAACATGTGAGCCATGAAGGTTCTTAAAGGGAGTGCATCGTGTTTTTTTGGTGTTGATTTAAAAATAATGGTCCAGACTTGGTTATCCTACTTCTCTAGCTGAACTGTAAGTGCATGTTTAACTCTTCAAGATGGTCATTAAAAAGACTTGAAGGTTACTGGAAACTGCTTATACACTGCAAGTACCTGCATGCCATCCAGGTAAGTGGGAGATGGATCAAACTTTGGAAAAAAAAACTGGATCAACTTTTCAAACTTACGGGGGAATAAATCAAGTTATATGCTTCCTTTTAAAAAGATAAAACATATCTTGTATCAATTGAATTCCAAAAAAATGGTCCAATTTTGTTATTTAAGATTATAATGAGAGATTGAAACTGATTCCTGTTGTCTGTTGCTACGGATAGCTGGGATTCACATGAATGGGGCAATTTTTTCATGTTTTGATGCTACTGTACGCCTGCAAAAATGACCAAAAGATTATCACAGTCAGTCCTCCCTGATGAAATTTGTTTGATATATGATGCTAAAGTAGCATTTTGGCATTTTATGTGGTCACAAAATAATGACACTTATTAATGACTTTAATTAGCACAGAATTGACCTAAAACAGCAATAGCCTTGAGACATGACTGCTTTAAACCTGCTGTTGCCAAATTCAGTACTTGTAACGATTACAACGCCTAGCCTTGTTTTCCCAAGGGGGGTATCACTAGTTAGCTAGCTACTAGTGACCTGAAGGCAGAAATATTTGAAAGCATGTCAGCCATTGTAGAATTCTCTTCCAACTACAGTGGAACCCCTCCTTACGGCCACCTTGGTAATATGGTCACCTCATTATTAGAGCCACTGTTTTTTGGCTGCATGGCAAAACGGCCAGACATTTTCTTGTAAGGAAAAACCCTTGCTGAGACAGTCATCCGTTAATATGGCCAAAATTTTTCATTGGTGACCATATTAATGGGGTTCCACTGCACAATATTAATATACTGGTAATGATATTATCATGGTAGTGTATTTACCTCCTCTGTTGATGTAGAGTCCCTTTTCTTTCTTTTCCCCTTTGATAGCTTTGTTTAACAGTACTACAGCTTCATCATAAAATCCTTTACTATAAAGCAAAAATGAAAGAAGAGTTTTAGGATAACCATAACCATACACAAACCCATGTTACGGGTTTCCTCCAAACATCCAGCAAGGCTATGGGTGAAGATAAACACCAGTACTTTCTCACCTAAAACACTCAACAGCAAAGTCATTGTAGCATAGTAAAAGCTGTCTTTGAGCTTCTTTGTATGTAGTGTTAAATTCATCGTGGTCTGTCTTGTCCATGGCTAAAAGATAATCATCTATTGCAGCATTAAAATCACCCTGTCTTCTGTGAAGAGCACCGCTGAAAACAAAAGACGTTTGAAATTCATTAAGAAATTGTTGTCTACCTGGTAATTCACTATTTTCCCTTGTCTCAAACCATGGCTGCTGCAAATATCCTGCTCTAAACCTGACAGAACTCAAACACATTAAAATGCAACCATGATATGCATTACTTTTTCAAGTTTTCACCTTTCTTTCAAATCTTTCCTACCAATCCAAGTGTGCTTTTGGCAAGCTTTATATAGTATAGATATGAACACTTACCGAAAGACATGAAAATCCGCCACTGATGGATTTGTTTCTATGGCAATGGAGATTTTAGACAAAGCCTCGTTAACTTTCCCCAGCAAATGCAGCTGTATGGCCTGGTTCAATAGAAAAATTATTGTTCAGTAATTGTAATTACAATGCACTGTGCTTGTTTTTAATATTTGAACAAGACCCCCACAGAGGGGGTTCATTAGGCTGCCGATTGTGCAACGCAGTGGTTTTAATATACATGTAATGTTTTGAGAAGTATAGATTATACTCACACTTTTTTTCTGGCTTTTCTGGCTTTTTTCGACAGAGAAAGCCCATTTTATAATTGGGTGCCACAGGCAGCCCAATAATAATTATTTTCATTACTGACAAATATTCCCCAGAGTGCACACTGTGTAATTTGCTGAGCCCTGAAATGGCCAGGTAAAAATTTATCATCTTTCAGTGACATATAATTTTTTCACTTGAAATTCCCAAACTCAGCACTAAAGAAGGCAAAAAATTCTGTCCTACCTGCTGTCTGCTATCCTTTGCTCTCTTCTCCAGTGAGGCCATCAGAGACTTGGCTTCTGCATTATCTGGAGCAAGTGCTAACGCATCTTTAACATCATAGTAACAAAGTGTGGACTATGGAAACAAAAATATCAGTCACATATATAAAGTATAATACATAATCAAGCATGCAAACAATCAGTGTTATACATTTAAATTAAACAATCTGCAGTTAAGATGGACAATAAATTAAAAAACAACACTTTGTTTGATGTTATTTTTAAAGCTATAAGAATGCAAATGACTAGTAAGAAATGCTAATAATGCTATGAGGCTTGGTAAAAATTAAATAATGCACCATTACTTGCATGCACATTACCACAAGTTTACAACTTCCCATAACTAATTATGTTATGTATTATTTTGACTTTAACTTCACCAAACTGAAAATAGTTTAAGGACTGCTTTTAGATTAAATCTATTGTCAGAACAGGTTTTATTTAAAAAACTTAAATGTACTTACATTTCGGAAAAGCTCATGAAGTCTGGCTCTCATAATAAACAGGTCAGGATTCTCAGTTTCTTCCTCAAGTCTTTTATTCACAAGCGCCAAACACTCTCCATGTCGCTGAAGAGCAGCTAAGCAAGCCACGCTAGAAAAGAAAAGACTTCCAATTTTTACCCCTCTTAAAATATTAAAAATTACCATTAAATGAATGTTAATCTGCATGATTGCATGTTAGTTATTGGTTCTTGATCTACCTGAGGCTGTAGATTCTATCATCTCAAAGTAAACTATATGAGTGCATGACTGAATCACTCTGACAATCTTTTTCTGATTGTAAATTTTTTGTGTTTCACTCCCAATCAATGCAGCACTAGAGTTTCCTTTCAAATTATCCCCTTAAAAACTGATAAAATGTAAGAATGTGCAATAATTATTTAGATTGTAAAAGTATGCCAAAGAGGTCTATTCAAATGGTCACACCATAAAATCAAAAATTAGAACTTGAGTTACTGAATTGTTTCAGTGTAAGAACAGGTTATAACAAGATCATTCATCACTCTTACTCTGCCTTTCTGGAGGATGACTAAATCCTATGGTGTCACCATTTGAGTGACACTTATTTGATAAAACATTTGCACAGTGCCATTCATTTCTAGGGATTTTACAAAATCAAGAAACTTGTCTGAATTTTTTTTGACTTTTTATCTTTTGCCACTAATTTAAGTGAAACAGTTAATACCAATTTATTATCATTGATTTCAGGAGAGAAAGATTACACTGCCAAATGTACAGCAACCACTAATCTAAGATCACAGAGAGCCCAGTAAAACAGGAACATAGGCATGTTACCTTCTGGTATGATAGCCAATAACCTCTGGCTTCATTTCCGCAGCTCTTGAAAAAGATTCCAAAGCCTCTCCGTAAAGCTTTTCATCAAATAAACATTGTCCTTGAAGAAAGTACAGAAATGCTAATCTGGAATATGTCTGATCGTTGTCTGGGTCTAATATACAAGCTTTCTTATAGTTTAAAATTGCTGATTGAAAGTCACAGATCTGCAAGTAACTTTCTCCTCTTGAAATATAATTTTTAACAACTTCTGGTTTGAGAGAAATAGCCTTGTTGAAACAAGATATGGCTTGATTGTGTTCATTCCTTTCAGCTAGACTTGAGCCCTCAAAAAAGCTGAAAATAAAAGATAGCAAACCCTGTATCAGATCATACAGCTGTAAGTAAAGAAATTTTACACAAAGCCTCATATTTACTATAGGGTACCTAATCGTACATAGGTAAATGACCAAGCTTTATTTAAGACAGCAGCCTAGGTTTCTTGGGCATTTAATACTACAATAGGAAACTGGTCACTTCTTATACAAAGTTGTTTTGATACATGTAATTGTAATACACACTCAAGCAGCAAGAGTGGACAACAATTTCTATCACTTCAAGTCTAGTTTCCTCGTAAACAAGAAAAGCATTTACAATGAATGCCATATTTATTGGGCTATAAGCTGAGCGATTTTTACACAAATTAAAGCTCAAGTTACGGTATCCTTTGTTCTTTAAGCCAAGTATGTAAAGCTATTTAAACCTTGACTGCATCAACTTGTATCAAAAGGATCAGCAAGCTTACATTCTATTGCCACGTGTAATCTTAAAAACTTCACCTGCTTGGAAGTAGATTATTAAAGTAGGGCTGTCACTAAGATGATTTGTAAGCACAACACTTTGCATTAATACCATAAATGATATCTAAGAATAGTTTTGAGCTGTGATTCAAGAGCCCTTTGCTGGGCGCAATTTCTCACAATTTTAAATACTACTGGTGGTATTTATTTAATATGCTGTTATTTGTTCATATGTACCACAACTGCAATAAATAAAAAAAACCTGAGAAAATGTCCCTAAGTTTTACAAGTGGATACGTTAAATCAAGGTTAAGTATAGCTGATCTCAGCCAATAAAACTGCAGAAATTTCTGAGGTATCAGTATAATGTGGAAGAAGTTTATTTGATTAAGTTATCTTGGCCTGCAGACTTACTGTTCTTCAGCTTTTGTGTCTATCACTGTTTCTGTTGTCAAAATTACAATGGATTTTCGCCGGTACTGTGAATGCGGAGTATTTGTGGTTGGAACCAGTTCAGCCAGTCGAAAAGAGTTCACGATAGTATTTCTTCTCCGTCGAATTTCCTTGGTAACTTCGCGGCTATAAAGGCTGGCAGCTTCATTTCCACTGTTCTCGTCCGACTCCGAAACATGTTCATTTCCTTCAAATACTACGACTGGTTTTGTAGGAAGTTCACAATCTTTCTGTTCATTATCGTTATCACTTCCTTCTAATCGTTTTCCTGGTGTATTGCTCGGCATCTGTTGGAATCAAGTGTTTTTATCTGCAATTATTTTCACGACACTGATCTACGCTGCAGCACGGAAGCCATTTTGTTTTGTTTCATTGGCAACGGAAAATACGAGACCGCTCTTTCACTCTTGTATCGCTGGCTCAGACTTGAATCTTCCCCAGTCCCTCTGCAACATCACACCAAACCCAGAAGCTCCCAGAGGAAGCGTCTTGGGGCCTTGGGGGTGGTACAACCTATGTCAGTTGTCAGCCATTTGTCAGTTGTGAGTTTTAAGTTTAGGCCCATTGTCAGTTGTCAGTTAAATGGTTATGAACAATTTTTTAAAACTGTTCATAAAAACTAAAACTATGAAACTTTTTTAGATTCGAAATTTTGCTAAAAAGCACATACATATTATCAATGCTGCGTTCTGATTGGTTAAGCTACCACTAGAGTATATGTTACAGCCCACTAGTAGCGAAAAGTACTGGCTTTTTGGCGGCAAAAAAGGATTAAATTCTAGCTTTAACTAGCTAGCTGGGCTATTGACTCAGAGGCCATGAGGGCGAGAGGAATAATTGTTTTAGTAAAATCCAACTGGTTGGTCAAAAATATCGAGACAAAACAACTTTAGATAGTTAAAGCTAGACTTTAATCCTTTTTTGCCACCAAAAAGCCGGCGCTTTTCGCTACTAAAATAAAAAACTAAATTTATAGAAAGTAATAAGGTTCTCTGTCAGTTGTCAGTAAAACCCAAAGCCGAATGTCATTTGTCAGTTAAATTTTTGTCAGTTGTCAGTTAACATTTGATTTTGTCCATTTATCCGTGGTCAGTTTAACCTCATCCAGTCCCTCAGTCAACAATCAAGCTTCCTGTTTCTCATTTTTCGTCGTCGGACCCGACGGGCTCTTAAAGAAAAAAAGGAAGAAGTACCACCTGCTCGTAGGTTAGTCCAATGCCTGATGAACTCCTGCTGCAGAAAATTAAAATGTCTGAAACTGCACCTAAGTTTATCTCATTGTGAAGAAAAAAAAATCAATTACAGCGCTCTTTAGACATCAGTTATGTGTCATATCATTTGAGGCGATCTGGGCTGTTTTACCGGACATGAATTAAGTCTTAAAATTAGACCAGCCGCAGGGGTGTAGCTAGGGGGGGTCCTGGGGTGCCCGTGACCCCCCCTTGGTATGCCTTCTTTTGAGCAAACAACCTACAATATTCAGGTGGCGAAATCGCCATGACAATAGCTTGGCCGTAAAAGCCATTGTTGAAAAGCCCACTTTTTTTAAAATTTGTTTTTTTGTAAAGTATTTTCGTCAACGGCTCTTGCCTTCAGTTAATATGGGCCTTCATCTGGGCCTTCATACCGCGATAGTACAAATGAGCCCGTGGAGGTCGACATGGCAATCTGGTGAGTAGCCTCTGTGACCCACCCTTTGAAAAATCCTGGCTACGCCCCTGAACCGTTTATGTGTTACGCCTGTCCAGGCGTTTAGATCGTGGGGACGGCGCAAAGAGACCGTGAACAGAAAAATCACCGCGGGGGATGGGGTAGGGGGTGACGGGCAATGTTCCTTCCTTCTCTTCCACCGCCATCTGAATGCTTGGAATGGGCTAAGAGCTTTCATTTGTTTTCGCTTGCAAAAATGTAAAATATAAGAAAGTAATTATAAAGTCGAACCTCCATACGCGACCTCCTTTCGTCAGCGATGTACTCCAGCAAGTGACCAGCTAAGTTTCCTCAACACTAAAATTTTGTCGGTGAATGACGTGAACCATACCGTGTGATTTAGTCAATATTTTTTGACGCAGTAATTACTATCACATTGTCAAGGATGGGGTGCTTGATCAGGACATTGACCCATGAGTTAACTATAATGTTTGAAACAACTTTATTGTTATCATGAAGCATCGAGCAGTCACATCCTTTGCTAATATCAGTAATGGCATGGTCACCCGCGAGAAGGGACGACATTCTTCTCTTTGAGTATTACTTCTCCTCGCCACGCGGGTAGCGATTTTCACGCGTGCGATGCTTGCTATCTTCCTCTCGCTCCCTTGTAGAAAAGAGACCACGACTCCTCGTCTACCGTTCTTTCACCTTTAGGTAAGTTTCTAAACCATTCGTTACCATTACCATTACTACTATCATTTATTAACACTAAAATGATTGAATGATTGACAATATCTCTCGTTAGGAGACCTAGAACAAAATGAACTTTTCCCCAAAAGTAAATCTTGAGGTTTTGTTGTGCCTTAACGTTTAATTATGGTCAAGTGACATGTCACGTGACAAAAAAAATTGGAAATGAAGGAAATTGGCGAATTGGTGGCGTATTTACTTTGTTTGGATAAACAAATTCGCATTTCTGAAAGATAATAAACACGTCTAACTTTCTACGTTTGGAATTAATGTACACGAAGTTTAAAATGAAAGTTTTAAATAATTCAAGATTAAAAAAATTAAAAAAAATTAAAGGCTTGTTTATAGTGGAAATTGCACTTAGCTTGTCCAGCTAATTTACAGGCACTCCACTCAAATATTTAGAAACAAATAATTCAAATACAACATAACAGGATTTTTGCTGAATTTTAAGTAAATTCAACGTTTTCTAATTCTTAAAACAAAAGCCGATTGCCTATCGTGCTATTCTTTAAAAGGTACTGTTTAGTTGTAGAAGCACTATAAATTGCTCCAAACCTTGCTCTGAGGTAGAATTACTTGTTCTTCGACATTTTTAAAATATCCCATGGCAGTTTTGGTTCAAACTCCTGCTGCATACATTTTGATGTATTGCAATGCATTTTCAACGACTTTTACTTCTGTTCGTTGCTTCCAACTCAGGAAAAAAGTATTGAGATTGGACGCTACCTCGTACCAGAGCTCAGATAGAACTGTCCAGCACCTTTGTTTATGACTACAAAATGAGCACGAGCGGCAGTTCTGCGTGGAATTCGCACCTCACACAGGGGGGACGAACGACATCGATGACCATGCCTGTGAACCGAATAACATCACAGTCCAAAATAAAATTATCGCAAAAATACTGCCCGTGAATAAATTTACAACTCTGGAATTTTTGTCACTCCTTCCCTCTTAAAACCCCAACTGGCAGAAGGCGACCCGTTGGCTATTTACAAGCGTGGCCGAGAATTTGAACTTGGGACGACCGAGCACAAATCCAGCAAGTGGCCAGAGCGGGACTCGAACCCGGGACCGCCGGATTGCGAGTCCGACGCGCTGACCACTCGGCCACGCTGCCTCCTAAAAAAAATGGGCATTTCAAATGGTGTTTTCGTTCATAACATTTTACTGAAGTGCAATAGACGGTCATTCCAAACGTGAAGTGTTAGAAATATTTAATATGAATGAGAAAAATGTTATTGCTAGATTTCTTTTCTTAAACCGGCCCCCAATTGGTCAATAATTTACGATTTTTAGCAAATGGTCACGTGACATATCACGTGGCCTATTAACACAATATTTATACTTTAAATGTCACGGACGATGAGTTCTTTATGTGTGCCAAATTTTGATTCAGCGCCATCATCTATGCCAAAGTTATAGCCAATAATTATTCATTTTCCACAGGTAAACCCCTTAGTCCCAGGCCTTAATTAAACTACTCGAGTAATCAACCGCAACCCCGTACATTGACTTCCCAAGTTTTGAGCATAATATAAATACTAAATACTCAGCAATACTTTCTATACGCTATCTAGTTTTTGATAAAATAACAGAAGACCAACACCTCCCCAGATAAATCACCGCTGTTATTAAAGTCACCACTGATTAAAAAAGAAGTAACCTGCTTCGTTGGCCGCGACAGTGAATTCATCATCATCATTGTCAAATTTCAGAGATAGGTACTCAGTAAGCTAATCTTTTCAATAACCTAGCCTGAAATTCATCCGATTGCTTCGAGTCGTTTTCTCCGTAATCAGATGAAATTCAGGCTACTCAATAAACCAGAAATTAATGTTTCCGTTAGAATGCACACACGAATATTTTATAGTAGCTTTTCAAATTTTCTTTTCTTTTCGTTTGTTTCGAGTATCTAATGTTAAGTTCTCACTTAAGCCCTGATCTTTCATATTAGATCCTAAATTTTCAAGTATAACATATGACCCACATATTGTGTAGTTTTTAACAGTTTTTTGAAAAACCTAATTCAGTTTAAGTACTTTGTGTACCAATGATTTTTTATCCTGCGAGCACAGGATTCTCTCTTGCATGGCTAAGCTTTTAGCGTTTACAAAGTCGTTCGCGTAGCTTGTCGGTCGCGTAGTTAATTTGATCTAGTTAAACGCTGAAAGACATGCAAGAGAAAAACCTCTGCTCGCAGTGTACAGTATTTATTTTAACCCAGTCAATGATCAATTCATTTGTTTGTTTGTTTTAATTTTCTGTTTGTCTTCGGAGGAATCCCTGAAAACAGCGCTACATGTCATGGAACCTTCCAACACATAAAGATTCTTATTACGTCTTATTAGAATGTTTGTTAGTTGGAGCAGAGTTAAGTTATAACGCAAAACTACTGTTTACTTTCTGCTGCTTCTTGAGAATCGTTGTGAAATACATCATATCCTCTTTCGTATGGAAATGGCAAAGATATCGGAATTTCCACCATTCGTGGATAAAGAGTTGGTGAACCACGTACAATGGTCGAACAGAATCGTTCCCAGTCCACTGGACCTTCAACACCATACCCCTCCGGTCCAACAACGCCAATGAGAGGCCAGGCATCGGTAGCACAATACTGAGTGAAGCACACTCGTCTTGATTGTGTCGAGTTGTTGGGTCCTGAAGCATGCGCTGTGCGCACATGGTGAAATGACGCACCGCCGGCTGGAACTTCAACGTGTACAGCTTTACTGGAGTCAAAGGACGGATCTTCTATTGCTGACACAAAATTGCCGTCCTTAAAGTGAGAAAGGATTGGCTGTTTATGAGTTCCAGGGACGACTTGAAGGCAGCCTTTTGGAGAAAGGAAAGATGAATCGTCTTTACATAGAGCCTTAAAAGTGCATGTATATATAAGGCCTTCCTATGTCCATGTATCCAGCGAACGATCAATCCTCAGTCGCTAGAAACTGAAACTAAAACTGGCGTCAAAGGAAAGGAAAACTTATTGCCGCTGTTTCACTTCAATGGCAAGGATTATGATTTAGTATAATTCATGCAACAATGTTTAATTTTGCTGTACGGCAAGCCTACATTAAAGAGAGCGACGCGATAATGTATTACACGCTGCGCGCTGTATATTACACGGTGATGAATAAAAAAGCTTTTCGTTAACCGTCTTCCTTCAAATCTGACAGCTTACTTTACGAAGCAAAAGGGTAGCGTAGCTCATAGCCTGAGAAAATAGCCGACATTTTGCGACGCTACCACTGGTTTTCCCGCGAAATGACGTCTGAGTGACGACTTCAGAAATTCAATACTGATTGCATGTCACTACTCAGTTCTGGGAGGTGCTTTTGATTAGTCGTGCCCTGGGGATATTTGCTTCAACCAATCAGAAGAGCAGCCCAAATCTGGGTAATGACGCGTCATCAGTATGGAATTTCTGCGCTCCTTCCTTGGACGTCATTTCGTATAGCCCACGTAGCGTGACGGTTTTGTCGTTGCGCGCCCGACCAGAACCACCACGCTACGCAGGCTACATTTCGTATGGAAAACAAAGGTGCCGTGGCTAAAAGTCGGTTGTTTTCTTAGGTTAGAGCGATTTTCGTATGACCTTGAAAAATGGTTTCGGTAAGTGTTCGTTATTTGTTTTATTCAGCCAATGGATGAAAAGATCATCGATAAACCAATCAAATCGCTCTATTGCCGTTCGTTTGTTGTTTCTGTTTTGTTCGCAAGTTTTCATTTAAAGGTTATACGAAAATCGCTCTACCTAGCTTTCTGTTGCTTACCATTTTCTTTGGTGGAGTCATCCACAGCCAAGCCAACGGTAACAATGCTATCATTTGTGTGGGGAAGAAATGCCCAGTCTTGGTGCCACTTGATTCCTGAGGAACCGTCTTCTCCGGGGAATTTCATGTGAATTTTTTCTTGCATTATGTAACGGATCGAAGGGCTGTCAACCTATTTATCAAAGGGAAGTTTTAAAAAGATCAAAGTGACAGAGATTAAAAGGGTGCGTGGTAAAAATGTGGGGGTCATATGACGCAGTAATTAATAGACATGATCCTTATGATAAATCGGGATGCTACCTATGTTAATTGGCGTACAACTAAAAAACGAGAAGCGTAAGAAAAGCTGACAGAAAATATGAAAGGGAAATTTAATAAAGGAAATGGGAAATTTTAGTCCCTGAATGGGATTTGGATTGTATAAGGAGACCATCGGTGACATATTGCAGACTTTCTTATTTCTGCCAAACTTAATTTTAAAAAAGTGGAAATCATTCTGCATGTTCTGCTTAATCTGCAGTTATACCATTCTCCTAGTAAAACCTACAAAACCTTGTCTTCTATCTCTTTCACAACGAAAAATTGAAACTGATTCGAATTCGGTTCCTATTGCATTGGGCCTGGGTACAATGGGAGAAGGCATCGTTGGTGTAAGTTTCCTATAAAAACGGTTCTTAAGTCAAAATTTCCAACAACAGTTTTTGAAATGGATCAGCCCTGTCATCATGTAGCGTCGTATGAGGGGTAAAATGACTGACACTTTGTACTTGGAATACCTATAGGTCTTCGATGGGCAATTTTGTGCTACGAATACTGCCTTACGATACACAGTTAAGGCCGGCAGCTGACAAGCGATGACCATGAAACTTGCATTCGTTTACTATCCGTGACATTTTCTATGAACAAAAAAGAAGGTAGTATTTGTCGTGATAACTTCAAAAGCCGGTAGCAACACATAAAGGTTTTCTTACAATAGAGATGTTTATAAAATATCAGACACCCCTTATAAGTTTGTGAAAATATCTAATATGCTACGCCCGATCATAGCTGGGTAGTAGGTTGCTTACCATTTGCAAAATGTCTCCGGAAGATCCGGTCGGAAAGTTAGGAACATGACTTTTCGGGTCGTTTTAGTGGAAGATTTCCGGGACTCTTGATTTCCTGGTCGGAATGTTCCAAACGGAAATTAGTGTTCCATTTCTTCAAAGCCGTCTTTGATACCAGTTTCAGCGTTTGCTTGCTGTCTCGCGGCCGTTTTTCCTTAAATGGAACTGATTTGTGCAAATGGTAAGCAAGATTGCGGGAGGAAATTTACCAGTCCTGAATTTTGCTTACCATTCACTCAAACAGTGAACCAACCGGTTTGCCCTTGTAAATGGTAAACAGCCATAGAAAAACAAAAACTTCGCAAATACCAGTTGTGAAATGACGTCTAGAAGTTTCGGATGTCGTAGAGCTTTGTGCCACACGGGGTGAACAAGCGATGGACAGATGACACGTGACCGTTTCAAAAGGGACCTGGTGGATGAATGACCTTCCTCCAGCATGAAGTACTTGTCTGATTGGGTTTTACTTTTGCTCCTGGGGATACGAGAAGTAAAGACTTCCATGAGGAACAGTCACTACTTTGATTTTTTTTCTGATAAATTATAGGAAGGACGTAAGTAACTCACATTTCAATCAGTTCATCTGTAGCGTCAATAAGTTCCTTCTTTTCTTCCTCACTGAATATGTCTTTAACCACAAGGTAGCCATCTCTCTCATACTAAAACAAAGCACTCCCCTTTTTATTTCAAATTTTTTAAAATGCAACAAAGAAGTTGGACCCACACTTTTGTATAGGATAAGATTTTTGTAACATTGGTGGGCCTGGGAAACTTATTTGTCACGCAATCATATAGTTGTTACGCCACTTTCGAGTTCGAATTTCGAAAAGATTTCAACACAGCCCCCAAATTCCTCACAACTTCTATCGAAAACATTATGGATGTAAGAAAGGGAAAGGCAATAAGGCAAACTTCTCAGAATATTGTACGTAATGGCTGCGGTATAGCCTGATTCTTTTTACCGGACAAGAAACATAAGTTTACGATCGCTGTCGGCGACAGCCCAGTTAAACTACGAACAAAGTTGTTTGAGTATAATTTTTCAGCAAATATGTAAAATCTTTGAGAATCAATCTGGTCTGACTCACAAATTGTATTAAAACAAAGAAGAAGAAGAAGAGAAAAACGCAATTCGGAGCACCCTGCGCTAAAAGAGATTCTTGCGTGAGTGTGATCGTGCACGAAAAGTAATAATTTAAAACCCTTACCTTGGCTTTATCATCCGCATGTAGTTTGAAGAAGGAACTGTTTGTATCTGCTGAGTTACTACTTGAAAATCGGCTAGCAATCGTATATTTTAACCGCTTTATACAGCGGAGCTTTGCTGCAGACGAACGAAACGATGCCATACTGCCAAGGTTGTGTTGCGAAATTATCATGTACGCGTCACGCTTTAGCGACTTCCTCTTGTCAACACTTCATTTGTTTCAGTTTGTGTATTGTGAATCAGGTAGCCTGCGAAAACATCCGTTTCTCCTCGCTCTTCGCCGCTGGGGACGTTAGGCTATGAATCAGGTAAATTGAGCTGAATGGGGCGCGGAGCGAGAAAAGGAGAAAAGAGGGAATAGGACACTGACACTGACAAGCTTTCTTATCCTTGACGAGAAGGCGTTCAACTGCATTTGTCTAAATTAAATAAACAGAACACAGAGGTTGGCTGACGGCCGTGGAACTCTTTCCACGGGCACTTGCCTGGTATTTTCTCAGAAGCCTATCGTATTTCCTCAAGGTGGGGCTTGCAATTGTGGACCGGCGATAGATAGAGTCTGGATGGGGCAAGGGGACGTTGTCATTACTTCGCACTAGTGGTAGTCTCAGTAGAGGAAACCGAGGATTGGCATCGCCAGTTTTGAATAAGCGCCTTTTTCTAATAAGCTCTCCTCTCCGAAATTCCACTTCTAGTGCCAAGTCTAGCTGCAACACAGGTGAACGCAGGCTAACATGTTCTCAGAAAAAAGTCCTTTGGGTTGGGGGGGGGGGGTACTTTGTCCCTCTCCTCTGAATATATACTAGCCTGATTCTCAGACGTCCGAGGTCGTTCGCGGTTCCTTCGATTTTCTCCTTGAAGCGAAAGACACCGCTCGGCTCGTTTCGCTCACCAATATTTTTCCTATTTGACCACGTATTTTGCCTTTTTCCCTGGTCCCAGGCGACCCAGGCTACAATAGCTCATAAAGCGCCTGTCGTGCAGGCTATTTGTGCAGGCTACTACCGAACAGGCGATTCTTCGGCCAATCAGCATCAATACCCACCCCGGATCGCGACGTGGTTACTAAGCTGCACATGGTGGACTGTGATGTTTTGATGTGGACGCTTTGAGATGGGCTGAGAAAGGGAGTCATAAGGGACATTTTGATGGCAAATACCGTAATTGCACTTCTTTTATTCGAATAAGGTAAGTAAGGTACCTTTTAAGTCTCCAAAGTATAAGTTTCTGGAATATTTTTCGTCAAGAAATGTGGAAAATCGTCGAATGCCTGCAAACGCGCGATCGCACCATTTGCCGCAAGTTTATGCGGGAATGCAAATGTCACGGTGTAAGTATAATTTATGAAGAAAAACACTATTAATGGTCAATAAATTTATTAATTGTTGAAACTTTTTCTGGCTGTAGCTGTTCAGGTATAAACCTGACTCAAAGACCTTTATATGAGCTGTTATCTGACGTTATCTGTCGTGACAATGCGCCATTATAACTGAAAAATTTATATAAAAGCTTACGTGTACAACAAGCATAATCACAAATAAACTCCGTTGCAGCAATCCTTCTTCATGTTTTCCAAACATTCGAGAATAGGTACTTGGTCATGTTTTAGAAGAGACTAATGTATAGCTGATAAACCTCTGTTTAGGAGAAATCCTCTTTTAAGGGGCAAGTAATAAACAGAGGGTCAGTTTTCAGTGATTTGCTGATAATTTTGTGCGCTGGGACGTTGGAAACTTGACTTCAAAAGAGGAAAACTGTTCAACTGAGGTTCATTGTTTTTTTAACCATGCTTAGTTTCCCAATGGCTCTTACTTGTATTTGCAACTGTAGACTTAAGCTTTCTGTTTTCTGTAGATCTCATCTGGCGTTTGCCTAAAACCTGGAGTATGGAAACCCCAAGCTGAATGCTGAATGACTCTGAAGCTTGGTGGAGAGGGTTAGGAAACTGAGTGAATCAGGTCCATTTAGGGTCATTATGCTGGACAAACTGACCTGAAACTTGATTCTCTCACTTTCCTAACCTTAATCACTAAACTTCAGTGGCATTCAGCGTTCGGTGTGGGGTTTCTGGATTCTGGGTTCTAGGCAAATCCTCCTATCTGAGATGTAACCTCTTGAAAACCATAGGATATAGCAGTAATTGTGTGCCCTTTAAAGCAGCCTATTTCCAATTACAAGGCTGCTGCCTAAGAAAACGTTCTGGGAGCCCTTCAGGCTCCTAAAATAAAAAGTTAGGAGTTTGAGGCCACCGATCAACAAACTTCAAATTTATTAGTGCATAAATAGTAGCATAGTTAAAGCTCAGCTAAAATTAAAGGGAAAGTCTCCTTTTTTGCATTTGTAAATTTCTTTTTCTCAACCTAGCTTAGGGTACCAGAGGCTTTTTTACCTTTAGTAATAATTACTAAAACTTTCCATTTGCACTTACCTGGGGCAATTGATCGTCTAATTTATGCACTCTTGACATTTGTTCTGTGTATATCATCATTTGCTTGGTCTTTTTGCATTAAGCAGTAAGTTGGAATTGCTCAACCGAGTCTTCAAGGGTTTGTATGGGGGTATTCAATTCTCCAACGTTAGCGTCCAGATCTGAAGGGGCACAGTGCTTGATGAAGGTCGTTTCGTCTGCGTATCAAAATGCTGTCCAGTCATGGTTATCGTTAAGATCATTTACATATGAATAAAATACGACTGGCCCCAATATCAAACCCTGTGGTACCCCGAATTGCATGTCAGTCAGTTCAGATGTTCTATCATTCACTTGTACAAACTCCCCTCTTTCACCCATGTAACTTAGAATCCAGTGAATGCCTTTGAGAAATCTGCAAATACAGCCATAGTTAGTCCACCTTTCTTCATAGCTTGGATGATGTCATCTCTGAAGCTCAGTCATGCTGTTGGTTTTGAATGTTGGTTTTGATATCTGTAACCAGATATCTTTTCATTAAGTATGCGGTTTTGTTCATTTGTCAGCAAAAAGCTTTGAATGTCTTTCATGTGGGACACTTTTTCTTTTTCTGTCATTAACTTGATACAAGTTCATTTGTAGCTCTTATTTTCAGTTGTGACATTGAAACTTCTCATCAGGGCTGTTATATTTGAGAGCCTCTCCCAGCAACTATGAACATGGTCCCTGGCTACTTTTGTAGGAAAATAGAAGAAAAATAGAACCAAAAGAAATCCTTAACTGTTTGATTCCCCGCCTACTTGTTGTATTTACCCGGGAACTTGAAATCTTAGTGACAGCCCTGCCCCATTTATTACAGCAGCTGTAGAAACTTGCAACTGTGTTTGTTACATCTTATCCTTTACAGGCTATAAAGTGCGTTTCTGAAAAGATGCAAAGTCAACATGGATCCTGCTAAGTCAGATAACAGACCTCTCCCAGCAGGCTGGATATGCCGACTGTCCAAATCACGAAAAAAGCAATATTATTTCAACAAAATTACTGGAGAATCCAGCTGGAAGCACCCACTGGATATTGATGTGTTTTCTCCTGTAAGTTATTGTTAAATTTGTCTTCACTTGTACACTGTAAGTTACATGTATTAATAAATAATTTAACATTGTGTTCATTAAAATTAGTTATGGAACACCATGTCATTCCACAAAACATTATTTGCTTGCTAGTCTAATGGAAACTTCAGATATTTCAGGAGTTGTTTGGGTTGTTGTTGGAGGTACATGTAGATGTACTGTACATATACTTTAAGGATGAAAGTCTTGGTATAATAGGAGGATTCAGTTGTAAACAATTTGCGGTTGTACATATGTATATTAGTTATTAGTGTAGTTTGGACAGGCAGGACTTTTTTTTTCAATCCTTGGTCTTCATGCTACAACTGATGTGAGTGTTGTATTTAAAAGTACGTACGTGGAAGCTAAGTTCTTAAGAAGTGGAATTTGTCCTTGAAATGTCCTTGAGAAAAAGAGAAATAATTGACTTACTCCATAATGAATGGATATCATGGATAACTTTCATCTCTTGTAATGCAACGTAGAAGTTAAAAGTAAAAAAAGCAACGTCACAGGAAAAAAAGTAAAAAAAAATTTAAAGAATGCCCAAAATTTGGAAGAGTGAGACGAGTCCCAATCTGGGAACTTGCAGGCTTTCCTGGTTGGGACTTGTCTCAAAATTTGGGATTTTATGGCCTTTAAATTTTGAGAATCCGTTTTTTTCCTGTGTGTTGAAATTTGAGCAAAAGATTTTGGCCATTTTTGTTTTAGCAAATTGAGATTTACAAAGATGTTTTAAGGTGTGTCATGCTGCCTTAGATAAAGATCCACTTAATATGAAATTTGTTGTGTGCACTATGTTTTTGCAGAGCAAAGAAGGTGTATTAAAAAGAGGTGCCAAAGATGATGAAAGCAGCTGTACAAGCTCAAAAAAGAAGACAAAAAAATCTAAACATAAGAAACACAAACCTGCACCACCATCAGCTCAATCAAACAGCCAAGTATCCCAAGGACATCAAATTCCAAACCCACAGAAAAATAACAAAATGCCTCAGATGATGACAACTGCAGTAAATGCAAATGGACAAAAACATTTGTGCAGCACTTCCAAAGTACGTCTTATATCTGCCTGGGTCGATTCTGTGGATCATGCATATGCTCCCAGTGAACAAGGAACCTGTATAAGCAGCCCAACCCACAGCCATGCTGAAAGTACTGCATTTTTTTCAATGCCAGATAGCCAAGAACCTAGTGTAGTAATGGGTAGCCAAGCTAAAAAAAACAACACAAGGGATGTTAGTTGCAAACATCATCCCTCACCACTTAGCCAGAAGGGTTCATTATCTGCTGCTGTTAGTGCGACTGTAGGAAAACAAAGTAGCAAAGGAGAAACTCTTAGAAATGCTGCTGGCAATCTTTGTAAACCAGTTAGTCCTTTACCCCCTCACGTATCTGGTGCTGCAGTGAATACTGACAGGACAAATACTACGCAAGAAATAATGCTAAATCCAACTACGGTACACCAGTCACAATATACAGAGGATATGCAGTTAGACAGTCAACAGTCTTTTCATAGCTATGCAAATGACCATTTCAATGTTGGATATGAGAGAACTCAGTTTGGTGATGATAGTGAAATGGCAATGGATATTGATAACTATGAGGAACTTGAAGATCAAATAAGGCAAGAGGTATGATAATCATTATTTTCAAAGTAAAGAAATGATCGTCGCAGTAAATGCAATTTATGCAATTGCGTAAAGAAGCCTGAAAAAAATTCAGGACTTCAATGGGGTTTGAACCCGTGACCTCATGATTACTGGTGCGATGCTCTACCAACTGAGCTATGAAGCTACTGATGTTGGGAGCAGGTCAATTGTGGGTTCATATGTTCCCGTGAAAGAAATGAGTGTTAATGATATATGAAATAAATCATATATAAACTGTGGAAATGAAATGAAAATGAAGAAATGATCATCGCAGTGAATGCAATTTATGCATTGCATAAATTACGTTCACTGCGAAGATCATGAAGAAATGATCATCGCAGTGAACGCAATCTATGCAATTGCGTTCACTGCGACGATCACTTCTTCATTTTCATTTCATTTCTGCAGTTCATATGTGATTTATTTCATATATCATTGACAATCATTATTTTGTCAAATTGACCTGTATTTGTTGACAGAATCATTACTTCAATAACATTATTCTTGTTGCCCTTTTCAAATTGTTAAACCTGTAAAATTAATTTGCCCTTTATTGAAATTTTTTAATCAAACCAGATTTTTTCCACCCAGAATAATCCATCAGAAGACCTAAATAAATACTCCAAGAAGTTCCCAATTAATAATATTACATGTGTTTAAAAAAGAGCCTTTGCAGCTTTAAGGACATGAACACTAATTTTCTACATGTAAAGTTCATTGGTGCTTTTGGACACATTTCAGTATGATCTTTAACATTTTTAGAAGGTCCAGGTGTAAATTATTTTCATTGAAGATCGTTTGATTTCGTAGGTACATCTTCATGTATTCTTTCCATTTTCTCTTGTCTAGCTTCAAGGAATGAGAACAGAGTTTGTCTTAGATCCATTAAAGGTGAGTAGAAATGAAAAGAAGAGCATAATGATGCATCCCCAAAATATAAAGACTGAGGTACTTGTTTTTGCATGTGAACTCGTTAAAAGCAGTGGCTATGGTGGATCTTGACCTTGAGGGAAGTTAGGGGGCACTCATCCAGTCCTTGTGATTTGGGCTGTCTCCAAAAAATGTTTTGCAGTCCTTTAGGTTCTACATGTAGAAGTGGTTAAAGAATAGGAGACGGTGCTCCTCGCTCGAATCTTTCACTGAAAAAGGCCCAGGGATTTAAGGCTCAGGTTTCCACTAGCGACCGAGTCGGAATTGTAAGCAGAGTTGTAAAAGCGCTTATGACCTTGAGAAAATAAAAATCAGAGTTGTAAGTGGAGTTATAAGCTGGATGGAATCAGAATTGGAAGAATCAGAATGTCTCATTTTCTTCAGACTCTGCTTATGACTCTGTTGCTTTGTCCTGCTTATGACTTAGTGAAAACCGTATTGTCTGAGTTGGAAGGAGAAGCGGAAGGATAAACCAATCACAATGCGCATTCCCAGGCTTTGTGATTGGTTTACTTCTTCCCCTTCTGCTTGCAACTCCAAAAACTCAGTTTTCACTTGATTGTAAACAAGGCAGTCATAAGTGGAATCAGGACGCCGTTTCACCAGATCGTAAAGTTCTACGCTTTTTATTAATGACCCCGACTCAGTCGCTAGTGGAAACCAGCCTTTAGGTAATTATCTACAGTATGTGCTAATTTTCATTGTTCTGAAACAGGTTACAGAGGACCCTAGCAAGGATACTGTAGTTTCATATTCTGTAAGTGCAGACCTTAGGCTGTATCATTTGAAATAAGGTGTCTTAGTGTACTGTGGCATTTTACGGCTTAATCATGTCTTTTAATGTCAAAGTGATGTTTAATCCCTTTTTTTACTTTTATTCAGGAATAGTTAAATAGTCCTTAGACTTGATATTATGTGTGTTTTGTGTTCAAAACCTATTGCTGAATAATTATACATGTACTACATTGTACATGTAGTAAACTCTAGTTGCATAAAAATTGAAAAAACTCTATTTCTAATCCTATTTCGTCTTTTCACTGAAACAACAACATTCCATGGGTGTTTTTATTACCCAGAAAACAAATAGAAAGTTCAGCTTTAGTATTGGTATTTATACACTGTATCTAATACACTGTTTATAAAAGTACAGTCTATTACAAGTTTTGTGTTTACCTTTTGCTTTGAGTAAGTACATGTGTATAACACACCATAAAATATTTATTATCTCTAGTATCTGTTGGCATGTCATATGTGGTTAAGTTTTTTGCCTTTGTGTTTAAACTGCTTTTGCAGGATACTCTATATGTTGTCCTGGACACTAATGTACTTTTATCACATCTCAAACTTGTATCTGAGTTGAAGGATTTTCCCATAGAAGGTTAGTGTTGCAAGCATCATTACGGGTTGGTACACATCGAGTATTGAATTTTTGATAAAGTTTGGAAATTTACAAACTAGTTTTCCAAACCTGAAAGTTTGGAAAGTACAGTCGATTCCTGATCACTCAAAACTTCAAGGGAAAGGGAAAAAAGTTTGGGTTATCGGGAGCTCAAAGAAAAATAGCCAGAAGTAAGGTGAAAACAGTTTTTACGGTACAGCTGTACAGTGAACATTAATCACATTTTATTGTAGAAATGTTAAGTGAAAATTGAAAGATACTTTTAGGTTATAATTCAGAATGTAACATAACAAAAAATAGCCTAAATAAAGCATGCATTTTACTGTTTTGAAAAGTAAAGCTGTTTCACGTTATATCTGTGATGAACAACATCAGCCTCCACTGGTAGAGTTAATGTCTACAACACGTCAATGGGACTTTAAAATCCAATGTTTCAGACTCCATTGAGCACTCAAAACATGGTTCGAGTTTCATGGGGTAACATGTTATAGAAATGATCTGAGGGGAAACAAAAATTACTTTAAGTTAGCCAGAGGTTCGAGTTATAGAGGGTTTGAGTTATCGAGGGTAAAATTACAGTAAATGTATGAAGAAAATCCGGGGAAAATCAATTTTGGTTCGAGTTACTGCAATTAAAGTTCGAGTTAGTGAGGGTTCAAGTTATCGGGAGTCAACTGTAAAGATAAAATCTGGAAAAATGGTTAACAGTAAGAGTTTTTTCTTTTTCAAAACTGCAACAATTGCTTAATAATATTGCTTTTAGTGAAATCTTTTTGCTAGACAAATCTTACTGATTTTAATCTAGTCTGTAGCCAAAACATTCAATCAGACTGAGAAGTTTCAGAACTCTGTTATGTTTGCATTGCACCGTGATTACTGTACATTTGCAGTGCATCATGGGAAAAGCGTAGTTGAGGTTTATAATCTTTATCAGTCACTAACTTTATACTGTATTTGATAAACTTAAGTCTGGAAAAAGAAATTATTTTTTGTGAAAAAGTTGGAAAAAAGTCATGAACTTCGCATTCAAAACCCCTGAAATTATTTTGCATTACTATATATTAATTTGAGAATTTTAGGTCCCAAAATTGAAGCATTTTCATTGAAAGTGATTCAACTTCACCTACCTTTATAAGTCAGAGCAACTTACAGGTAATTCTTTGGAATGTATTACTGTTAATGCTAGTTTTCTTATGTGAAGGTGTTGCCAGACCTGTTTTGGTTGTTCCATGGATTGTTATTCAAGAACTTGACTCCTTAAAGGTATGTCAATTTTTATTACATGTGTTGTCACTTTTGTACATGTTTCTGTCAGGAGTGTTCGGTTGAAGGAATCATGTATTCAAAAACCAGTGCTTTACCCAAAAAGTAGGGGATACAGGCTGCATGTACAGATCTATCTTCCGACAACTACAGTTTGGTCCTTGCTTTTCTGGTACGTGTGGACAGTGTAATAATAATAATAACTTTATTTGTATAGCGGTATATACAAAAGCTCTATATCGCTTTACAATCAAAAAAGAAAATAACTAACAATAGCACCAAAACAAAAAGTCAACTGAAAGCGAGTCTAAAAAGATAAGTTTTCAATCTAGATTTAAAAACATCAACTGATCCACTTAATTTAATGTCTAAGGGAATATCATTCCAGTGCTTTGGGGCAGCGACCGAAAAGGCCCTGTCTCCATAGCTCTTCAGGCGCACACTCGGTACTTCTAATAAATGTTTGCTAGCTGACCTAAGATTTCTTGTAGGGTTATATGGGACTATAAGTTGACTTAAATACGGAGGCGCCAGGTTATTGAGAGCTTTAAAAGTTAACAGTAATACTTTAAAGGTAATTCGCTGCTCCACAGGTAACCAGTGTAGCTCCTTAAGGACGGGGAGTGTGCCAATAAATTCTTTCATTTTTCTATGCAATACACACTGTGGACTAATTGTTGCCATTTGGATACAGTATGTAGCTCCCTGGATAATGAGTTACTAAGAATTCCTGGTATGTTAAAATTCTGTCTCTAGAGCGACTCATGGAGGATAAGAAAAGGAAAATTGGTCACCAGTCAAACACAGGTTTGAGTATAAGTTTTACTATTTTTATTACATAGTTGACTGTTTTGATGACTAATGGTAGCTGTTGTAGTGCATTGTGTTAAGCTAATAAAATTTCATTTTGACTGTCTCTAGTCGCAGAACAGCAAGTTTGGTGTTGATACTCTGGCACGACAGGCAGTGAGGTTTCTTCATGCCTGTTTTGAGAGTGGTCATCCTCGGGTCCGAGGACAAACGCTGTCTGAGGTCAGTTTTTCAGAACTTGGTGATGTTCTTGTACCAGTCAATAAATATGCATGTTGCTGCAATGATCCTTTCTTAGCACACTCTTTAGACTTTATCCTGATCCTTTAGTACTGACCCTATCATTTTGGTTTTACTCAATCCAATCTTTCAGCCATCAGAATTATTTTAAAAAAACTTGACAATTGTAATAGGGACTGCAGTCACATTTTGTAGTAGATGGATATGTCTTTTTAAAAATCTTGGTTATACAGCTAGTCCATGTTATTGTTAAATAACTTATATGATGTATGTGCATTTGCAGCAAATAACATTTTTTCTTGTTTTAGGCCCAAGAAATGATGGACAGTTGTTCAATGGAAGATCCATCTAATGATGACAAAATACTTCAGTGTTGTCTTCTATTCCAGAGAAAAGGTTAAGATACTACTCAATTTAAGAGTGACTCCCATTTGACATTCTCATACCTAGAGAGTTTCCAACTCATTAATGTATTGCCCATGCTGTACATGTACATGTACCTTGTGCCTGTATTGATCTGTTCAGTACTTAACATGTTTGGTTATTGTTACTTTTAGCTGATAAAGGACATGCCAT